TTTTTAAATGTACAAGTGGCAAGTAAAATTTGTTGATTATTTTCTCCAAAGGAAAAAAATGCAAAAACTCATTTTCTAAAGGCTATCTTCCCGTTCACTTCTTTGTGAGTTGGACATGAACTCAGTAAAGCAACAGGGACATTGGCCCCAGCAGAACTGAATGAAGCAAGTAGTTGATAACACAGATGTCTAAGTGTGATGGTTTAGCCATGGATGATGCAGAACTCCCAACTGGAAAACAGGATGATCAGTTATAGCTCTGCAGACCCTCAACAGCTAGATCTGGATTAACTGCCATATCAATAAAGTGTCCTGGTGTTTTTCTGCCAATACAAATACATGCAATACCACTGGGTGATCTTTAGACAGCTTGAATTTTTCTTCTCAGCCAACATAAGGGTATCTGAGATTTGCTCTAATATCTCTTAGGAAGGACAAATGTGATTCATTCCTCATGACCTGACTTGTCTCCATGTGACCCTGAAGAGCAATGTTTAGCTTTTCCCACAAACGTGGGTGGGTTAGTGAATTTTATTGTTACATAACTGGAAATTACATATCTTAAAAGAGGAAGCGACATTTAGCAATCAAGTGATCTAACATAATGGAAAACTTAGTGATTACTTAATATTCTAAGGTAATTTTAAGATTTATAAAGACCCTTTGAGCTTGCTTTTTTTGCATAATTCAAGTTTGCTATCTTTGGAGTGGTCTCCTTGGAAGGATAAAGTTTCTCAATATAATACTTTGGACTTTTTTCCAAAAGACAGATAAACGCAGTCTTATCTGTTGTTAGTTTTCAGAATAAGATCCAGAAAATAAACCCAGAGTGGCCTCTGCTCATGTGCTCACTTTCCTAGTACTTCCTTTTATCTACATAGTGGTATATTGGGGATTTCGGTTTTTCTTATGGTTTGAAATTGATAATTCCTTGAAAATTGCTAGCACGAGTAGCAATAATTAACTGGAATACCCAATTGCTTAGAATATTTCATTCCCCAACCACCATCACAAGATAGCAAAGACAATAGTTTTAAAAGACTCTCAGGCCATCTGGTGGATTATTATCCCTCTTATTAGAAATCTCTAGTGGTCAGATTTCCTATCCTTTGTCAGCAATTTGTGTTTTGCCCAACATCAATTATAGCTGAGAAATTCTATCCTCTTATGATTTGGCTTCTTACGGATGCAAATTCTCTCTCTCTCTCTCTCTCTCACACACACACACACACACACACACACACACACACACACACACCACTGAACAATAATTGGCCATTTCCTGAAAGACAGAAATAGTTTACACATAAAATAAATATAATAACAAGTAAATTTAAAGTGAATCACTAGAACCTTCTTTTCTCTAAGCAACATAATTATACTTCTTGATAGATTCTCCCTTACCTGGAGAGTCAAAATTAGCGTGAATCAGGTTATTCAGTGTTTCTAAACTAAGATACCAAGACATTTGGTCTATGCCACCACTGTTATCCAGTGCATAGTTTGTACCTAGTATAATAACTTTGAGAATATTCTTGGTTACTTATACCTTATCTAATCTGCTAGTGGAGTATAAAGAACAGGGATGTTGCTGTCCGAACTTAGTTTTCTTATCAATAAAATTGTGACAAAATGCTACCTAGAGGTGTTGCTGAGGGATTAAATGAAATGAAGTGTGTATAAAATATCTGGCATAGTGGGAGGTGTTCACTCAACATTTGCTATTCCTATGATTGCTCATTGTTTGAGGTAATGTCCTTTCCCTCTATGGCAGCACCCATGGACTCCCTCGGGAAGCCACATCCGCAGGCCTCTACATTTCCTAGATAGTGAGGATCATATGGGGGGCTCATTTAGAACAGAACCATGAGTTCACACGTCCATAGTCGAACTTGATGACATTTAATTGTGAAGTGAGAACATGAAAGACCAGTGGAAATTGAAAAAAGAGGTCATACTGGGGCTCCTATGTCTTCCAAATTCTGTCCACAATGGGAAGTGGCACTCCCTCATACCAATACTATGGGGATTGTTGGGACATTGACACGAAACTTAGACCTCAGTTTCCCCTCCCCAATCTATACACTATGCAACATCTGGTATGTTATCTACTGAAACATAAGAGACTCTTCACCCTACCAGGGCGGAGAAAATCCCTGCTAGCTGTATTCACCCTTTAGTACCAATTTCAATAACACAGACACAGGGAGAGCTCATTATTTTTAATGGTTAACAAGTTTTAATAGTTCATCCTGGGAACTATCTCCCAGCTCCTCTCTCCGAAAGAAATCTATTCACATGCAATGCCTGCAAGAATTCAAACTTCATAAACACAATATTGCAAAAGCAGAATTAAGAAAAGCCTTCATAACCTTGAGATTAAAAACAATGCTTCATTATTCTCTCAGCATGTGATACTTAATGCTAAATACTAAACACTAAAAAAAGCTGTACTGGCAAGCTGATCACTGATGGCTGGGAACTTGGGAGAAGAATAGAGAAGGAAGCTCTTATAATGATAAGCACTTTTACATTCATTTTTCATCTCATAACCAGAATAACACAGGGCAGATCTATTTTGCTAACTGTGTTGTTGTCAAAGGTAGAAAACTCCAGAAAAATATTCTCAGAGCAATGACTGGAGCTGGTTTTACTTCTGACATCTAAGTTAGAAGGAACCAGTATGAGCAGTGCCCTTAAAACTGAGGTTTCTCTTCCTGCTCACACTTTGGTTTGAAAGCACTGCAACTATGCACGCAGTACCAGAGCCATAGTAATAGTATAATAAATGTGTTGAACTTATACCTAGGCTGCTGGATTGAACTTTCTTCCAGTGGAAACCTTCTGTACACTTCTTAGAGGCAACATTCACACATCCAGGAAGGCCTTATTTATCACAACTGGCCCTCAATGCCCTGAAATCCTGGGGGACCAAAGGAACAGTAGCACTACAACGAACAACTTTCTTACTTAGTTCATTCCAGTCTCCTGAATATGCCCACTTGGCATCAAAATTTGTGACCAGAGTTTAAAAGATTCAATATCATATGTAATCAACATAAGATAAACCTATGTATGCCTCCTTCATTATATTCATTATATGCAAAATTAAGAAATCTGGGGTAGTTGGCTATGGTGGTGCAGGCCTGTAATTCCAGGGACTTGGGAGGCTGAGGAAGGAGGATCTCAAGTTTGAGGCCAGCCTCAGCAACTTAGCAAAACCCTGTCTCAAAATAAAAAATAAGAACTGGGGATGTAGCTCAGTGATAGAGCACCCCTGGGTTCAATCCCCAGTATCAAAAGAAAGAAAAGAAAAGAAATCTGGTGTAAGAAGTGACCAATGTGAAATCAGCTGCCCCTTCTGTTTTTTGTTTTGTTTTTTGTTTGTTGTTGTTTTGTTTTGTTTTTTGTTTTTCTCATTCACCTGTTCTCTTCCTTACCCTTAAGGAATTCTTTTTTCCCCTCCCCCTGCTTTTTTCTCTTTCTTCCTCATTACCAAAGCTATATATAGTTCTAAATATCTGCAGCCCCAGGAAGTGGGGTAAATAAAGCAGTTTTTAGTTCCCAGAAATGGGAGCAGTTCTTTGAAAAGGCTCTGGTCTTACTAACAGTGATTTGGATCCTCTTTCTTGAACTCATGGATATTCAGAACATTCTATTGGATGTGAATTCAATATCAACACAGTTAACTGGGGATTTTAGTTTGTAGGAAGAGGAAAAGAAAGAAGAGGAGGAGGAGGAGGAGGAGGAGGAGGGGGAGGAGGAGATGATGATGATACAATAAAAATAGACCATTAGTCACACACATAATATCCACTGGTGTGTGTGTGTGTGTGTGTGTGTGTGTGTGTGTGTGTGTGTGTAAAAGTAAAACAAGGAGTGGACTGTATTTAAGCTAGATGCACATTATTAAATACATATTTGTCACAAATTTCAAGTTTGAAATTGACGAAGATTGACTGGAGGAGAATATTGCTATAAGTAAATCAGTGTGCTCTTCTTTCATAGGATAGGAACCAGAACTAGAGAAGCCAGGTTGAGTAAAGGCAAGAGACCAGTTCTCTGCCTCCGTTTCTCATTCCTTGCTTCAAATAGTAGCCTAAGGAACTCTCCAGGCCATTTACTGGTTAGTATCCTTAGTCTGTTCTCTACCCTCAGGAGAACCAGCATCCTTTGCTCCATAAGAGTAACAAAAGTTATTTCCTTAGGGAATTCTGTGTAAGTCCTTCTATTAGTTCTACTCTGACATTACCCGGTTCTTAATGTTTTTTCATTCATTTATTCATTCAACAAACTCTTCTTGAGTATCCACTCTCTGCCAAGCACCATGGCAAATGCTAAATAGTTGATTAACTTCAATCTCTGCAATATTCATTTGTAGGTTGAATCTCTGACTCAATTAGGCTGCTGTGTTGGAAAGCTGGAATATGCTGAGATGTCAAAACTGTCACTAGGAAGTATTAAATCACTCTCAGCATATCTCATTCCCCAGCTAACTGGAAAATTTTCAATATGGCAATATTGATTTTTTTTAAAAAGATGACTCAAAAGGGAAAGGATTGGTTTTCTGTTTCTTTGGAAGAGTCTAAAAACTGATTTTTGAGGCAGCCTGGTGTTGTGGGAAGGTTACCAAATTTGTAGTCAGATGGCCTAGACCCAGTCTCTGCAGATGGATGAGGAGAAAAGGCACTCTTCACTGGCTCCCCTGGTCCATAATCCTAAGGAACCTATTGAACCCTTTCAAGGCCCCATTGTTTTAGCCTAAAAATGAGTCAGGTATCATTGTCCCACCTCCTTCTGACAATATGGGAAGAAAGAGATGAAATAATGTTTGTAAAAGTAGTTTGCAAACCCTAAAGCGCCATAAAAATGTAACTTCTCACTGGCAAACAAGCATTGATATTCCTTTCATGGAATCCATTACATTATAGTTTCTTTTCCTCTTTTTTTTTTTTTTTTTTAAAGGAGGGAGCTTACATCCAACCAACATTATTTGGGCATTTGATCCAGAATAACCTATATTTTTTTCCTCATGGAAGAGTTAGAAGTTTTCCTTGTTGAAAATGAAATGCACTCCCCGAGGGCCAGAGTCAGAGTTGGAGATGCACTGTTTGTTGAGGGTTTTAGCCAAGGCTTCAGGACCACAGAGGAACACGCCTATTCTGGTACTTTTGGGGAAAGAAGGAAAAAAAAAACAGTTTCAGACTTTGGAATAAGATGGACTATAAAGCAGGTGGGGGATTTCCTATCAATCTGAGGCCTCAGGGCTAAATCCTCTCTGCTCCTTTGTCTTTTCTACAAATGACAAGAGTTGGGCTGGGGTTGTGGCTCAGTAGTAGAGTGCTTGCCTAGCATGTGTGAGGCCCTGGGTTTAATCCTCAGCACCACATATAAATAAATAAAAAATAAAAGATCCATTGACAACTAAAATATATATTCATATATAACAAATGGCAAGAGTTCAGATTACTCTGCAGGTTGGAGACTCAGCCCTGCTTGTGGGGACAGCTGGATATTTCAAAAGGCAGTTGACTTCCCTAGAGAATGAATTCTAAGAAGTGTTTTTGGAAACTTCTACCATAGAGAAAATGGTGGTTAATTTGTGAGTCTGTGAGTTACTTCCTTTCAGGGCTCTGGGCCCCAAAACCCTTTCTGGCACCTTGAAATCAAGAGCAAACCATGTTTAGGTACCCCAACTCTGACAGGTTGGTGTATCTCCTCCCTCAAAGAATTTAAGGCTTTGCTCTTCAATGGTAGTTCCACATCAATAGGTTTTTTTTTTTTTTTTTTTTTTGTACCAGGGATTGAACCCAGGGATGCTTAACTACTGAGCCCCATCCCCAGCCCTGTTTTGTATTTTATTTAGAGACAGGGTCTCACTGAGTTGCTTAGGGCCTCACTAAGTTGCTGAGGCTGGCTTTGAATTCTCGATCCTCCTGCCTCAGCCTCCCAAACTGCTGGGATTAAGGCATGTGCCCAGCTCTGGCATTGGCATTTTAAGAATGCAGATTTTTTTTTAATATTGTTTTTTTAGTTGTACGCAGACACAATACCTTTATTTTATTTATTTATTTTTATGTGGTGCTGAGGATCAAACTCAGTGCCTCACACATGTTAGGCGAGTGCTCTACCACTGAATCACAACCCCAGCCCCCCCAGAACCTGCACTTTAAAAATATAACCAGTTGAATTGTATGCTCATAATAGTGTAAGAAGCAATGGTGGCATGTATATATTTATGGCCAGCTCTTGAGTTTTTCATGTGTTCAAGCAAGATGGGAGCTCTCAAGGTCTCGTGATGGGTAAAGCTTTAGTGAGGGCAGAAAGAACCTTGGGACAGCAATCAACTTACAATTTTAGATTCAGAAGCTACAATTGAAGAGGGCATGGTAGTAGCACGTGCCTGTAATCCCAGGGGAGAGGAGGAGGGAGAGGAGGAGAGAGAGGAGGGGGGAGAGGAGGGGGAGAGGAGGAGGGAGATGAGGAGGGAGAGGAGGAGGGAGGAGAAGCAGCAGCAACTATAACTGAAAGTGAAGAGTGCAGTGTCTCCTTAATTATAAGTGTAAATTATATGAATATTTAAAAGAAGTGGATACACTAGTGAGATTTAGGTAACAGAAACAAAACAAAACCATGACCCTGCTTGGGATAGGCAGTTAAGAAAGTCTGAGGGAGGGACCTGAGATTCTTATTTTCTATAACCCCCCAGGTAAGTTTGCTGTGATTTAAAGTTTCCCTCCTAAAGTCAAAGATATTAGGAATTTTCAGTTAGACATGAATTCAACCCCAGTATAGTAACATGGGTATCTTAGTTTCTAGAATATAGAAATGTAGGCATGCTTGGGAGCCACTGCTAAAGTAGATGAAAAGCCTCAAGAACACCCTGATGAGCCGGGCATGGTGGCACATGCCTGTAATCCCAGCTACTGGGGAGGCTGAGGCAGGAGGAATACAAATTTGAGGCCAGCCTCACCAATGTAGCAAGACCCTGTCTCAAAATAAAAAAGAAATGGGGTGTAGCTCAGTTGTAAAGCACCCCCCAGTATCAAAGGGAAAGGAAGGGGAGGGGAAAGGAGGGGAGGGGAGGGGAGGGGAGGGGGAAAGTGAAATGAACAGCCTGGTAGGGGGGTTCCTTACTTAGGATGTTGACTCGCAATTGTCTTGAACTCATTATCCCAGTTGGGCCGTCCATACAAAGTCTTTTGCTTCAAGCCTGTAATCACATCTTTCTCCTCATCATGGTGCACAGCAAAGTGATTGGCCTGCAGCAAAGGACATGAATTCAGGAAAAAGAAGCATGCTGTGACACACACACACAGGTACAGTTGCATAACCCAAGGCACCAAACTGGAGGCTAGATGAAAAACAAAGATAAACAAACTGGATTCTCTCTAGCAATTTCCCCTCCAGAAGGGGAGACCTTGAAGTATAAATATAAATAATATAATATGTAGAATCGGCTGTGATGAGTGCCAGGAAGAGACGCAGCATCCTAATGAGAACAAAGAAGGAAGGTCTAGAATGGGAGGCTAAGGGAAGGTTGAAGGCCAATAGCATTTGAGTCAGGCATTGAAGTGTGGGTACTGTCTCACTGTCTTTCTCTGGGTCTCTGTCTCTGTCTCTGTCTCTGTCTCTGTCTCTCTCTCTCTCTCTCTCTCTCTCTCTCTCTCTCTCTCTCTCTCTCTCTCTCTCTCTCTCTCTCTCTCTCTCTCTCTCTCTCGGTGTGTGTGTGTGTGTGTGTGTGTGTGTGTGTGTGTGTGTGTGTACACCAGGAATTGAACTCAGGGGTGCTGAGGCTGGCTTCAAACTTGCAATCCTTCTGCCTCAGCCTCCCGAGTTGCTGGGATTATAGGCGTGCACTCCCCCCACACACTGTTTTACTCTTTCCTTTGTTTGAGCTTCTCTCCTCACCCTATGTACTCCACTCATTTGGGAGAATCACTAAGAACTGACATATTCACTGACTAAAATATAGTAATATTTCCATAACTTAACAGGACATCAAATCAAACCTGAAGCTGGGCTGTGTGCACATGCTCTTTTCCTGCTACTGTTCTAGGGAGCCTCAGCTTGAACAACAGGTATTTTTCATAAAACTGGCTAAAATTAAATGTATTTTTAAAATAAATCAGATATTAAATTCACCAGGCAGGGGATGGATGATGAGGATGGAGGGGATTTAGAAAGAGAGTCGCAGACAGATGCAGTGGTGCACACCTGTAATCCAACCTGCTCCAGGAAGCTGAGGCAGGAAGATCACAAGCTTGAGACCGGTCTGGGGAATTCAGTGAGAGCCCGTCTCAAAATTTAAAAAATGAAAAAGGGCTGATGATGTAGCTCATTGGTACAGCACTCATTGGTACACCCCTGGCTCCCCAGTACTGCAAAAATAAGTGAATAGTAAAATGGTACAAACAATTTTAAAAAGAAAGGAAAATCAAAAGGTGGTCACTTTTTTTCATAATGCTATGGGACCAGTTTTCCAAAGCAAAATAATTTTTTTTTTCAATGCACATAAGTTTCCTATTTTAAAAAAATGTGTCTGGCTTTTTTAAATTGTAAAACTGTTATTGCTGGGCATGGTGGGGCACGCCTATAATCCCAGCTACTCGGGAGGCTGAGGCAGGAGGATCACAAGTTCAAAGGCCAGCCTCAGCAACTTAGCACGGCCCTAAGCAACTCAGTGAGACTCTGTCTCAAAAATGAAGAATTTTAAAAATAGCTAGTGATGTGACTCAGTGATAAAGCATCCCAGGGTTCACTTCCTGGTACCTAAATAAATAAAATAGCAAAACTGTAAAACAATTTATAAATCATAGATTTTCCCCCTGGGTTTCATTTTTGTCAAAGGGGTTTTACTGTTTTGTTTTTAAATTGCAGAAGTGGTATCTTTTTTAAAAAAAAAAATTTTTTTAGTTGTAGTTGGACACAATACCCCTACTCCATTCATTTCTATGTAGTGCTGAGGATCGAACCCAGGGCCTCACACATGCTAGGCAAGTGCTCTAGTGCTGAGCCACAACTCCAGCCCCCAAAAATGGTATCTTAAAACTGCTTTTTCTGAAGCATCAGTTGTCATGGTCATGTGTCCCTGGATCTACATTTACTACAAGACTCTTCTAAGACTTGGAGAATCTATGATAGGCAATAATTTAAAAATTCAAATTAGCTGGACACGGTGGTGCTCACCTATAATCCCAGTGGCTCAAGAGGCTGAGGCAGGAAGATCACAAGTTCAAAAGCCAGCCTCTGCAACTTATTGAGGCCCTAAACAACTTAGTGAGACTCTGTCTCAAAATTTAAAATAAAAAGGCCTGGGGATGTGGCTCTGGCCAAGCATCCCTGGGTTCAATCCCCAGTACCAAAACAAAACAAAACCCAAATGAAATGGCACTCTTGACAGTAACAGGATGTAAGTGAAAGATGCCCAGGGTTGAGGAGCCAATGCCTAGCTAGAGCCAGCTGCTGTGCTCCAAATATGTCTCCTCCAAAATTTCAGGTGTCTCTAATGTTATAGCATTAAGAGGTAGGACCTCTAAGAGGTGATTGGGTCGAGAGGGCTCCTCCCTCATGAATGAGATTAAGAACCTTATAAGAGGCTTCATGTACTGTTGCAGGAGCTTGTCAATTGTAAGATGTTTACAGTGCCAAATCTCCTTGGGGGGCCTGGGGAGGTGGGAAAAATCACCCCCAGCTGAGAACTACTGGCTGATTTTATTATAGTGGCCTCTGAACAGTATTGAAAGCACACTTTCATTTGAAATACACACACACACACACACACACACACACACACACACCACATGTCTCACCTTCTTTAGCTATATAGGTTTATCTACTATTAATAATCATAATACTGGTAGTCACTAAGCATGCAGGCTCTGGAACATTCTGACTGTGCCACTTACTTGCCAGGTGCCTTTAGGCAAATGACTTAATCTATTCTGGGCCTTGGTTCTTCATCAGTAAAATGTGGATAATAATAGTAGCGATCTCATAGGGTTGTTGACAGCATAAAATTAGACAATCTGTCTAAACTTTAACCACAGTACCTGGTGTGCAGTTCAGTCTCTCTCTGTGTCTATAGGGGATTGGTTCTAAACCCTCCTGCTTAGATACCCAAATCTGTGGTACTCAAATATTTTATATAAAATGGTGTAGTATTTGCATAGAAGTAGCACTTGGATCCAAGTTTGAGGCCAGTCTGGGCAAATTGGTGAGACCCTATCTCAAAAGTAAATAAAAAGGGTTGGGGATGTAGCTCAGTGGTAGAGGGTTCCTGGGTTCAACTCCCAGTACTGGAAAAATAAAAATAAGTCTATGCACATCCTCCCAATATACTTTAAATGATCTCTAGATTACTAATATTACCTAAAATAGTGTAAATGCTATGTACGTGTTGCATGCACACTGTATTATTTAGGGAACAATGACAAGAAAAAAAGCCTGTACATGTTGAAAACAGATCCAAGTTTTTTTCCAAATATTTATTATCAGTGGTTGGTTCAATCCACAGATGTAGAACCGATTCATAAGGAAGGCTGACTGCATATAGTTAACAACTATAAACATATCAAGTATGCATATTAAGTCATATGCATAAACATATGAATTAAAGGAACACAAACACATTTTTTCCTCATTGTCCCCTGGCAAATTTTGTGTCTGGTTTTGGACTCCCAGATGGGAGCATTGCATTAATAATGTCAAGGGCTTGGCCTTTATTCCCTCTTAGAATCCTTAGCTTTGAATCTAGTCTCAACAGTCTACCAGGTGGCGATGCTGAGTTAGAGTGAATGGGCTAGATCATTAGAATCCATTGACCATTCTTGGGGAAAAAAATAGTACACAGGACACACCAGTAACCAAGGGAAAGTGGGCAAGCCCTGGACACTAAAGGAAGGACTTGAGACCTGGATCTTTATCCTCACCTGAGACTCATCCCAGCCAGTGAGGTAGATGTTGTAACTGAGGAAATCAGCATTGTTCCTCTCCTGCATCTGGGACTCCAGCAGCTGCAGCAGGTCTGCAAACCACTCAAAAGCATGCGTATCCCGGCACAACCAGTAGAAGTAGATCTGGAAAAGGACGGATCCCAGAGCAGATTGTATTGGCATGGGTTCCCACAGCATGAACACATGCATTGCTACTGTCCCCCTAACTTTTTTTCCTGATGCTCAGAATGCCTAGCAACAGGTTTTCAGCAAGCTCTGGACATTTCATAGGCTCTGGCAGGGCAGTAAATAACTAACTTGGCCTCAGAAATACGTAGTTCAGCTGGGTGCAGTGGTGCCTGCCTTTAATCTCATCGGCTCAGGAGGCTGAGGCAGGAGGATCTCGAGTTCAAAGCCAGCCTCAGCAAAAGCGAGGTGGTAAGAAACTTAGTAAGACCCTGTCTCTAAATAAAATATAAAATAGGGCTGGGGATGGGGCTCAGTGGTTGAGTGTCCCTGAGTTCAATCCCCAGTACCTGCCCCCCACAAAAAGAAAGGAAAATAAAAGAAAGAAAGAAATACATAGTTCAAAGTAAAAACAAGTCTCTAGTCCATCTATTGTCCATCTTGGGCTGGTTACTTCTTCTCCCCCAGAAGCCTTGACATCCTTTGTACCTCCTCTCAGAAAGACATGAGGAAAGTAGACTAGCAGGAAAAAATAAATAGTTTTACCCATTCCTCCTCCACATAGAAAAGAGGTGAAGGGGAAGAATTCTAAACACAAAACCAAACAAAAAAATAACTATATAACATAAAAAAGTCAAGGTAGGCTCAATGTACCCTTCAGAATTTATCTTTATAGTTACTAGAGTGACTCAGCATTTATTGAGGATGTCCTTCATCAGGTAATTTACATGTAACACTCCCCTGGGAATTTATCCTGAGGAGACATCCATTAGAAACAAAAAGTTTCAGGTCTCCTGCCCTCAGCCTGCAAAAAAAAAAAAAAAAAAAAGTGTTAAAGGCCTAAAAAATTGATTCTATCTCAATATATAATCCCAGATGGAAGAAAAATTAGTCTGCATCTTCCCAATGGAATAGGAGGGAATCGTTAAAAATCAACATGATGAAGTCTTAGAAAACATTATGATGTCTCTGAAAAATGTTTTCTGTGTTTTAAAAATCAGGATATGAAATTGTACATAGTTGAAATTTACCAATTTCCAAAAATATGTAAGCCTGTAAAAAGAATATTACAAAAGAAGATAGACATCCACATTTACTATCATTTTTATTCAAACCTTATTTAAAAGGTTTGTCTCATGTATGACTATAAAGCCCTAAGAAAAAGGGGGGAGACATGGTGGCTCACACTTGTAACCCCAGCAGCCAGGAGGCTGAGGACAGAGGACCACAAATTCAAGGCCAGCCTCAGCAACTTAGGGAGGCCCTAGCAACTTATTGAGACCTTGTCTCAAAATTAAAGGGCTGGGGGTGGAGGCTGGGGATATGGCTCAGTGATGAAGTGTCCCTGGGTTCAATCCTTGGTACCAAAAAAAGGGGGGTTTGCATTGATGTAAATCAATTAATTTTAATCGCACTTTCATCCTCAAAAGTGAGGAATAAATGAAATGATTTTTGTGGGGGGTACGAGGCATTGAACTCAGGGGCACTCAACCATTGAGCCCCATCCCCAGCCCTATTTTGTATTTTATTTAGAGACAGGGTTTCACTGAGTTGCTTAGGGCCTCACTAAGTTGCTGAGGCTGGCTTTGAACTTGCCGTCCTCCTGCCTCTGCCTCATGAGCCGCTGGGATTACAGGTGCCCACCACTGCAACCAGCTGGAATGATTTTTAATAAACTCTTCAAAGACACACACAGAAAAAAAAAAGAACATATACAAGAGGATGGAGGTATAGGTCAGTGGTGGAACACTTGCCTAGCCTGCACAGGCCCTGGGTTCAATCCCCAGCAGAAGGAGGAGGACTAGGAAGAGGAGGAGGAGAAGGAGGAGGAGAAAAAAGAGAAAGGGAAGGAGGAGGGTTAGGGCTGTAAATATTTCTTTCCCAAGTTTCTTTCTTGGGAACATCCAGTAATGCTATATAAATACTGTATTAAATTACTTTGACCAATAGACCTGCTTCTAGAGAGCACATTTAACTTATCATATAGTCTAAGCCTGGGTCTCTGGAACCACGAAAGCTTTTCTTTACTTTCCATGTTCCCTGCCGACCTTGCCCTGAAGGGGATTTCACACTTCATTTGGCAATGAATGGCCACCGTAGGCCCTCTAAAACATGAAGGAACTTACCTTTTTGAGCCTCAGATTGGTGGCATTATTGCAGTATTTGTACCAGACCGACTTGAGAATGGATGCGAAGGGCGTGACCCCAATCCCTGCTCCCACCAACATCACCACCTCATAGCTGAACACGTCTTCACTGGCTGTACCGAAGGGTCCATCAACGGCTATCCTGAATGGGAGTGGAGAGGAGGTAGTTAAGGGATGTCCTGCTTTTCACAGTAAGATGGAGCTCTCATTCTACTGCAGATGTACAATATGGCAATTCCAACTGGGGCCATGTATCTATGACGCACTTTCTTCCATGAAATGATTAACAAGTAAACAACTTAGTGCAAACATTGGGGTTGAAAATAAGAAGAGGAATTTTAGCTAACTGAAAACATGGTAACTCACCACGGCTTTATTTTCACCTTCCCATCCTCCTTTCCTTCTTTTACACACACACACAAAAAAAAAAAAACAAAAACAAACCAAAAACAACAACAACAACAAAAAAAAAACACATGCACACACATCTCTGTCTCTTGCCAGGACATCCTGCACTTGAAATTCCTACTTTTATTACACACTGATGTGAGAATTTTCTAATATTATAACATCCTATAGATTTGCTATTCCCACTTCTCTTTTGTCTATTGATTGAGCTATTCAACAAACTTTTCTTCAGCATCTGTTAAGCACCTGATACTATGTTAGGCATGTGGGGAGAGTGATGTAAAATCAATAATGCCTGGCATTTTCTCTCAAATAAATGGTGCTGATTAAAATTTAAGAATATTTTTGGCCAGGCACAGTGGCTCAGTGACTCAGGAGGCTGAAACGGGAGGATTGCAAGTTCAAGGCCAGCCTCAGCAACTTGGTGAGACCCTGTATCAAAATAAAAAATAAAAAGGGGGGCTGAGGTTGTGGCTCAGTGCTAGAGTGCTCGGGTTCAATCCTCAGCACCACATAAAAATAAATAAAATAAAGGTATTGTGTCCAAATGCAACTAAAAAAAAATACTTTTTAAAAATAAAATAAAAAGGGCTGGGAATATAGCTCAGTAGTAAAGTGCCCCTGAGTTCAATCCCTATATAATAATAATAATAATAATTATTATTATTATTATTATTATTATGATAATTTTGATACATTACAGCTCAGTTTGTAACTTGGTATTAACGAACTTAAAGGAATTTGAAAATATTTATTACTAATTTATTACTAATATTTGGTCCAAATATTTTTAATTTCACATAAATACATTAAAAATATGCATAAGCATACCACACACATGCAATGGGGAACACAGGGCTCGGTATATTCTTAGGACCTCTGTGTTTTGTCAGAGACTCAGGAGATAGCATAGTGAATGTGGGGGAAGAGGAGCTGTTGAATGCCATTTTCCTTGAACACCTATACCTTTGTAATATGTGCCTTGTACTCACTTAGGTAGTTTCCAGGCATCTTGAAACTCCTGCTTATCACAGCCACAAGCATTGAATAGTCCCTCTGTCCAGTCCCCAACGATGCGGATGTGGATGCTAAAGAAGTCTTCCTCAGGGGCAGAGGTCAGTGTGAAAGGGTGCCACTCCAGCTTGGACACCTTGGGGCACTTGACAAAAATGTACTGGCCCACCTCCATCTTGAATCCCTTCTTCTTCATCTGTAGCTCGATGGTTTTGAAAGGGTGAGTGACCACCTATGGAACAAAACATGTCTCTGTTAGTGACACTTTTCCCAAATATTTGCCCTTTCCGTGTCCATATGGATAAAAGGCTGAGCTAAGATGTTCCATCCAGGTTTCTACTTCAGGGCCAACATGGAAGGTTCTCTAATTGGTCACTCGGAATTGTCCTCAGCTGTAGCCCATAGCCAAAGATAGACTGCCAAAGGGATACAAAGATCTGGTCGTTTCTCCCAGATTTGGGACAACTCCAAGGGACCATCTCAACTCCAGCACCCCTTGTAGGATCAACTGAGGCCACAGTTGCCAGTATGTTGTAAGTCAGGGTCACCGTTTCCCTCTCCCCAATTCCATCTTTTGTACTTTCTTTACAGATGCAGTTCCTGAGAACACATCCCTATAAACTTTCTGCACACAATTCTCTGTCTCAGAGTCTTTACCAAGGAATCCAGCCTAAGTCATCAGCCTATTCTGATTTTCTCTCTCTCTCAGAAGTCAAGGAAGGTACAAAAAAAATAGGGGAGAAAAGGTGATAGTTTCCTGCTCAGCCTTCCTATCTCCCCAGGGGATGAGAGAGGGCCTTGAGAACTGGACAGAAGCAGATTCCACAGGCCATTATATACCAACACCCCCCAAAACCAAGTTAACTCTACTATCTGAACTTACCATGAATCACACCTGGAACCTGTCCTATTCCATGCAATACATTTTCCCTACTTGGGAAATACATGAGTCATCTCTCCCCAAGCCAGTTCCTTCCCATCCACCGCCATCTTCATTCTGCATATACCCAAATGTTCCTAACAGCTTAACTTATAATAGCAAAAAATGGAAACAATCCAGATGTCCATCAACTAGTAAGTAGATAACTATTTTTTAAAAAATAGAACACAATAAAGAGCCATGCAGAAAGTAACATGCTGTTTTTTGTCAAAGACCTATCTACACTCCCATGTTCATTGCAGCACTATTCCCAATAGCCAAGATACGGAATCAACCTAAGTTCCATCAACAGATGAATGGATAAAGAAAACATGGTACATACATACAATGGAAACCTATTCAGCCATATAAAGGAGAAAATCCTGTCATTTATAACAACATGGATCAATCTAGAGGATATTATGTTAAGTGAAATAAGCTAAACACAGAAAGACAAATACCACATGATTTCATGCATATGTAGAATCTAAAAAAGTTGATCTCTTGATCTCGTACAAGTTGGGAGTAGAATGGTGGGTACCAGGGGATGGAGTAAGTAGTGGGGAGAGAGAAATGGGCAAAGGTTGGTTAACAGATACTAAATCACAGAGAGGAGAAATAAGGCCAGACACAGTGGCGCAAGCCTGTAATCCCAGTGATTTGGGAAGCTGAGGCAGGATAACAGTTTGAGCCCAGTTTCAGTAGTTTAGCAAAACCCACCCTGTCTCAAAATAAAATAAAAGTGCTGGAGATGTAGCTCAATGGTAGAGTTCCCCTGGGTTTCATCTCTAGTACTACAAACAAACAAAAAAGCACAAATAAGTTCTGATGGTGACCATGAGTAACAATAATATACATTTCAAATTGCTAAAAGAGAGAATTTTTCTTTTTTCTCTGTGTGTTTTTTTTTTTTTTTTTTTTTTGTGTGTGTGTGTGTGTAAATAGGGATTGAACCCAGGGTACTCTATCACTGAACTACATACTCCCAACCCTTTTTATTTATTTATTTTTTTATTTTGAGACAGAGTCTCACTAATTTGCTTAGGGCCTCACTAATTTGCCCAGTCTGGCCTCAAACTTGAGATCTTCTTGCCTCAGCCTTCTGAGTGGCTGATATTACAGTCATGTGTCACCATGCCCAACTAGAAGAGAGGATTTTGAATTTTCTCACCACAATAAAATGATACATGTTTGAAGTGAAGTATATTCTAATTACACTGATTTGATCATTACACAAAGTATAATATATCAAAACACTACATTTTACCTTCTAAATATGTACAATTATGTGTCACTTAAAAATAAAATTAAAATTAAAAAAAGAAAGAGTAATATACTGTTTCTTTCATGATTCCTAAAATACCTAAAAGAACTTCATGCTATACAACTAAAGATAAATCAAGGGTCATCAAAGGAAAGTAAAATCAATGGAAACAAAATAGTAAGTTTTTAATGTTGTCTGATATTTCTGGGCTTTTCTTTTCATGGGTAAAGAGTTGTGGGAGAGTAGGAAATTCTTTTAATAAAAATTGTTGGTTGGCCCAGGTGTGGTGGCACATGCCTGTAATCCCAGTAACTCAGGAGGCTGAGGCAGGAGGATCACAGAGTCAAGGCCAGCCTGGGTAACTTAGCAAGACCCTGTCCCAAAATGAAAATTTAAATAAAACTTTTTTTAAAGGGCTGGGAATGTGGTTCTGTGGTAGAGTATCCCTGGGTTCAATCCCCAGTACCCATGCCATTCCCCACAAAAAGTTGGCTGGAGGCATAGCTCAGTGGTAAAGCATGTGTTTAGCATGTGTGGCCCTAGATTTTGTCCCCAATACCACACAAAGAATTGTCAAACATTTCCAAAGCTTGTGATTTAAATACATCTTATATGATATGGTTGTATCCAACTTCCCTTCTGCTTCAAAATACAGAGTTGGAAAGAATCATTTCAAATCCAGAAAATTATGTTGAAAATTGTTTGCCATGTCATCATTTTGTGTGAAGAAAAAATTTTTTGCCATATTGCAATTTTGCCATCACAGGCACAAATAGGATTTAACTAAGTAAGATACACTAGTGGACAGCATTCTCATTGAAGTATTTTGAGATAACACCTTGTTTCTTGTATTTGTTGGTCTGAGAAGAAAATGAATATCAATTTTCTTTACAGGAAAACAAGTTTTCCTTACAAGGATGGTTAAGAGACATATTTGTCAGGTTCACTCAGTTTTGTCCAGTAAGGGAAATTTTGTGGCAGCTTCTTTTGCTGATCTATGGGGTTTTTCTTATAATACAATATAAATAGCAAAAAAGGAGAACCGTTTGGTTTCCTATATTGCGAGACTTCCAATGCCAACAGGACTGGCTTTACTATGACCCTTCATAGACATCAAATGAAAAAAGTTTGGACAAAGGACAGAAGGAATGTGTATGTTTTGCAAAGATGACCCCATAGCAGGTCTTTGGTAAATACTTGTTGAGTTGAACTAAATTTCATTTGATAAGAATGATCTTGTGTAATGTTTCTGGAAATTGTAACAAGGAGTTTCCATTTATATTTAGTTAGCTGAATGTTTATCTATGGGGAAAAAAACCCATAGAAGAGTTTGTGGGGGAAAGCCCCTCTAGGCTTGGGGTTAGGAGACCAGATTTAAAGTGCAGCTTAATTAATTACTAACTTGCTTGAGACTTTGGGCACTTTGATATTCTGTAATTACATATAAAGCACAGAAGAGGCAAAAATGACCCAAGAAATTATTTCAGCCTCAATCAGACCTACCCTTGGTTCCTTAGTTCTTTTGTCATCTGAAAATTTTAAGACTCACTTCATTTCATTCTTCATTTTTAACTACCCAAATAATGCATCTTCTAGTGTCTCCAGTTAAAGGCCCAACCATTTGATGAATGGGCTAAGTACACTGAAGTAAACTATAGGTTTCCTCTCTGCTTTAAATTCATCAGAAGAAACTGGGGCAAAACGAACTGGGCAAAAGATAACTCATAGAGAGAGACAAAAGGAACTTGGGTAGAATTGTCCAATATAATCAGACACTGAGTACTAGTAATTCTTAACCCAACCAATACCTTGGTGATGACAACCTTCTGCTGAGATCGCCAAAACCGGACCAACCGCTCACAGAGATACAGGAACATGGGACCCACTATCCATTTCCAAGTCTGTAATCAGAGCAAAAATGAAAATGAGATATGTGAAAGAATAAAGCTAATAAAAGATTCAGAGAGAGAAAAAAATTTACAAGTCAGATTAATCTTCCTAGGATTGGCTAAACGTAGGATAAATAAATCTCTACAGCAGAATGTATGAAACATATCTGAAGTTTTGATATACTGTTGAACCTGTAAAAATGAATATTCTCACCAGACTTGGTGGTGCATGCCCACGATCCCAGCTACTCAGGAAACTGAGTCAGGAGGATGGAAAGCTCAAGGCCCCATTCAGCAACTTAGCGAGATGCTGTCTCAAAAAAAAAAAAAAAAAAAACCTAAAAATGGCTGGGGATGTGGCTCAGTGGTAAAGCGCCTGTGGGTTCAATCCCGGGTACAAAAAAAATCTCCTTAGCCACATTGGAGAAATGTATCTATAGAATGAAACTTTCTAAGGAGGAACTACCCACAAGAATGAGATTTCCTCCTTCCTTCTCAGTGTCACAACTGCAGTTGCAATAACCCTACAGTAAAGCAAGGCTGGTTTCAGAATTAACATTTCTCTAAAGGATAACATTTCAACAACCCAATATTTTTATGCAACAGTGCAATTGCTTTCTCTCAGCCATGTAGTTAGGGAATAATCTTTTGCAAGATGACAAATTTTATGCAAGAGATTAGCTGTTTCTTCAATATCCTGATAAACTAGGAGCTGTGCAATGCACTTGCTGAATAGGAACAAACCCAAAGGTTTCTAGAATTCTCTAAATACCTTTCTGGTCAGATTATGCAGTGTTTCAGTATACTGGAATTATTCTATAGTATTGTTGGCTATATAAAAACATTTAGGCTAAGCAGATCTACCCTGAGACTCAGCTACTTGGATTCCCAGTTTAATAAAGTAGCAAAAAATTTTAGAATGCAATATCATCTGAAATATGACTTTCCAGAATGATTTCAAAGAGGAAAAAAAATCAGGGAATGCATCCCCTCCAATAGCTTCATATATGATCTTCCATTAAATTATTTGCTTATGAAAATTTGTTCCAGGTGAGAGCATGTTCCCATATTCAGACAAAGTTGGACAATATTTGCACCAGAGGTCAGGAATGTTCTGCTGCTAGTCTTCATTTTCATGAGACAGGTATTTAAAACAGTCTTGAGTCATCCATCTATTTCTTGGGTGCCAACACGGGGTGCCATTGAGTGGAACCAGGTTTGGGCATTGCTTTTAATAGCCCCAGAAAACCAGAAGCTCCTTTGAAGCAGATGTCTGCTAAGGTAGTAGTACTATGACTCTAGCTGTCATCGAGGAAATGTGCCTTCCCCAGCCCCTAAGAAGCCTGGCAATATGGTTCCCTTTTTATCCTTTCTATTGATGTTTGAATGTGGTGTGGGCAGTGCACTGATGTGTTTTGTTAATGAACAAAGATGCTCAAGGATAAGACTTCATAGCATGCTGCATCTGGGGGAAGGGTATTCCTATGCTAAGAGAGTAGGAAAAAGGGAGAAAATGGGATGCAAAATATGCTTTTATGTCATACTGTGTATAAGAAAAAAATAATAATCCTATCCAGAATCCCTTGTACAAATGATGATTCTTGTCCAGTTTTATAGCAATGGTGTTTTAATCAACTTTTTGCCACTGTGACCATAATATCTGACAAGAACAACTTGTAAGAGGGAAAGTTTATTTGGGCTCAAGGTTCCAGAGGTTTAGTACGTGGTCAACCAAGTCCATTGCTACAGAACATCATGGCAGAAGGGTATGGCAGAGGGAAGCTGTTCACCTCGTGGTGGTCAGGAAGCAGAAAGAGGAGAGAGTAGGGGCCACAGGGAAAAGGAACCATTCCAGACACACTCCATGACCCACCTCCTCCTGTCACACCCCACCCCCGCACCTACAGTTACCACCCCGTCAGTCCATTCAAAGTAGAACAGAGGGATTAGGTTGCAGCTCTCATAATCTAATCATTCCATCTCATGATTCTGTATTAACACAGGAGCACTGGGAAGACACCTCATATCCAAACCATAATAAATGGCTAGCACAAGAACCAATAAAGTATACTGTCTGTCAATGAGGGGAAAGATAGAAAAATTACAAGTCCCTCTTCTCACTTTATGGAGCAGAGATTTTGAGGAAACACGAAGAGGAGCCCTTCAGAACTCCTTATATAAAAAGGAAGTATTTTTTACCCTCAGTCACCAGTACCACACTCTTGCTCCGTCACATGGTGCCATTGGGTGTTTGTGTGAACCTAGCTTTCCAGCCTCCTTCAGGCCTGAAAGACTGGACCTCCTAATCCCTAAAGGCATTGCAGGGTGTCACATCATCAATTTTCTTCCCAGTTCTGAAAGCCTTATAGAAAGTCTTATTTCCTGGTATCTGAAGAGGCCTCTAGCTGCTTATAAGGGATTTATCAGCTCAGGATGGAATCCTTAACAGTCCTGGTGAAAAGCACTAACTGCTGTTTTTGTGGTCTTCACATCCAAAAGAAAAGAGATGGAACTTCTTGAACCCATAATCTTTTTTTGTTTCTTTGTTTTGGGTACTGGGAATTAAACCCAGGGCCCTTAACCACTGAGCCACATCCCCAGGCCTTTTTATTTTTTATTTTGAGACAGGGTCTTGCTATGTTGTTTAGTGCCTTACTAAGATATTGAGACTGGTCTTGAACCTGGTGATCCTCCTACCTCAGCCTTCTAAATCTCTGGGATTATAGGTGTGCCCCACCAGGTGCATGGCACCAAACAACAATTTTAAAACGCTATTTTGTCAAGTTTTCTTTCAGGACATTGATAACAGATAAATGCAAAAAAAAATTCTTTCAAGAAAGAAATTCTATAAAATGACAAAATCATAGAATTTGGAGGGAAATGGATGGCATTAGAGCAGATTATGCTAAGTGAAGCTAGTCAATCTTTAAAAAACAAATACCAAATGACTCCT